CCCCAATATAGTAACTTAATTTAAGTTCCTTAACAGCAACCCAGTCTATGCATCTGCAAGAACCCCTAAACCCTAAACCCTAAACCCCTAAAACCCTAAACCCCTAAACCCCTAAACCATCCAGCCCCAGGACTTGGCAAGTGGAATGATCGGCATCCTTTCCGTGAGTTCCGGCGGATGTGCTTGTTTCAACTTCTTTTCTCTGGGTAGGCCCCTGGGATNNATTTTCCCTAATGGCTGTAATAAGGGACCCTATATACTAAGATTTTTCAAAGGGCTTTAGGGGTCAACCCAGTTCTCTAAGCATAGAAGACGAGCGGGGGGTTTCATGTGGGGGCCCTTAAGAAGGCCATGAACCCTTTATATAGCGTCAAGCAGGCTTTGGGGCACATGCGAACTCTTGGAAGAGGTTTGTGATCCAAATCGGCAGAACTGGGCGATTTTCTCTGCCTTTTTGGAACATTCGCTGCCACGAGTTGTCTCCGCAGAAGACTCTAGGCACAGGTTAATCAGCAAAGCAAGCAAGCAAGCAAGCAAGCAAGCAAGCAAGCAAGCAACGCGGGCGCATATATCTCACTAAATAACTTGAACAGCACGCATATACTGGTTTGATGTAAGGGCTGAAACCTCATTTCACGATTAGATGGCTTGTCGAACAGACCTTCTTACCATGTCAAGAAGGGGGGGTACGCTTCAAACCCTAGCTAGCTAGTGGTTTGCTTCAAAGTTCTGGGGTAAACTCGTCGGCAGCCGCTTGCCACTTGCACTGCAGTCTCATTTGATCCCGGGACTTTGTCCCGGAATAATGACTCAGGAGCTTCTCGGCACGGTGTTTCAGCCACGATACTTTTTTGGGGGTCCCAATAATAAGGACTATAGGATTTGGGGTCCATATTGGGGTGCCATTATTTTGGGAAATTTTCATATATATATATATATGTATATATACAAAAGGCCCAAGGAAGAGAAAAACGCGGCTGTTAACTTCCTGGGACGCTCCGCCCATCGCCTTCATTGACCTCGGCAGCCAAAGGTTTAACGCGGCGGGCACCTCAGCGATGCTGAAGAGCATTTTGATACCAGCTGGTGAAGAGAGCATGGCCCTCAGGGCTTGAAGGCTGTGTGAAGCATGAGCGTGCAGTATACACTTGATAGACATTGTGCCGGGAAGTGGCTGCATGTCGAAGGACAGCAGTCTCGCGCTCTGTTCACCAATGCGACTCGCAATCTTCCAGGCGGCGCTGTAAGGGCTGACGCAGGCAAAACGCCTTGTCAACCAGCTCTTCGGCGATCCGCGTGTACCATTCGTCAAATCGTTTAAGTTGTGCCCAACTCGCTGAACTCTGGAAGCTTGCAGCCATTCTGGGCGCTCGCTCACCCGTCCAACACAAGGCTATGAGAGTGGACCCAGTTGCTTTCCGCAACGCTTCTAGTTACGGTCTGCCTGCCTCTCAGCCTGCCTCTCAATAGGGTCCCCCTTCAGTAGATTAGCCCCTATAATGGAGAATCAAATGGAAAAGAAAATGGAAAATGAAATGGAAACTATGGGAATATAGGCCCCCTTAAGTAGATAGAATATGGGGGTTACAGGGGGATGATGGAAAAGAAAATGGAAGTTACTATTTGTGGTTTACGGTTTAGGGAACCCTCAACCCTATCCTTGCTGCCAGCCTTAAGCATAGTGGACTTCAAGTGGACGCTCCCGGAGTGTCAATGATGATGGAACTGCGTCAGTAGCAACTGAGAGAATCTATTATTATCATTATTCTTATTGCAAGTATTATTATTACTATCATCATTTTTTAGCAGTATTATTGTTAGTAGTACTCGAAATTTTTTCTTACTGTTATTTCTACTGTTCTATGCCATTGGTATCATTATTGTCATTATTCTGAGCATTACTATTCGGCTCTTATTTGCTGGTGGCCGCCAGCCTGACGTTTCGCTTGGTTGTGTTGGGAGGCATGGGACCGGGCCTGCCTGCACGGCTTGGTAGATGGTCATGAGAAAGCGGAGAGTCGAAGAGCGATCCTTGGGGGTTATATATTGGGTTATATTGTGACAATGGAAAACAAAATGGAAACTACTATTTAGGCTTATATAGGCATGTTATTGTCAGGCACTGTTCTTACTGGCGTAAGGACCGCTACTAACAGTTGTACGTCCGTGTAGCAGCTGGAGGGACAACATAAGTTCTTTGGCTTCATTCGCAGCCTCAGGCCCGCTGCCCTTCAGCCCTGTGCTGGCCTGTAAAGCTTTACTTTATTGAAGCCGACGTGCTTCAGTTACTTTCTGTGCCTTAGAGCGCGAATGGCCAGAGAAAAGCAACAGCGGCTGCAGACCACGCTGCGTAAAGCAAGCAGTAGCGGCTTTGCAAGTGGACACGACCTGCGGAATACTGTGAATTGTCGGAGCCTACAGCTTAGCCGCCTGTCAAAGCGTGAGAAGATCTTCCCAAGGCCATCCTCGTCACCAGCTGGCACGGCTGAGGAAGTCACTGCCATCTCTTCTTCATCTGCGTCTCCCGAACGCGCATGTCTCAGAATGCACCCGGTCGTGGAGGCAGTCAGAGGAATGTCGGGATGACGCAGAATAAGGGCACAAATTGACTGGATGTTCTTGGCCCCGAAGTTTCATACAGATACCGCCAAGATCCAGAACATACGTCTCCCATGATTTGAGTCTGACTTTCTACCTTCCTGCAACGGACTCCTTTACCCGACACTTAACGTTCACCAGGACTTTGTCAAAATGATCCCTGTGTGATCAGGATCCCGATGCTGTCCCTTTGATCCCCCATAATTTCCCCAACGGTATGTACTGTACCGGTCCCCCTTGTTGAGACGCTTCCACCACCCGGACCAGAGAGGTCCACCGCGAATGCGCGGGCGAGGAAGTCGGGGAATGCGAGGGCTGAGGAGTCTTTGGCCAGTTCTGGCGCTTCCCGTGGAATCGAGTCATCCACCCAATGAGGTGGGTTCGGGGTTTAGGTTTAGGGTCGAGTGGAACTCACGTGTGTGTGGCTCCGGGTATGTGAGGCAACAGCTCTGTCTTCAAAAGGGTTTCCAGTTTAGGGGTTTAGCGCTAAAGTTTAGGGTTCAGGGGGTATTTTTTCAGCAGTATCAAACATCCCCATCCTCGAAGATTTTAATAGACATTACTTTGATAGTAGCATAGCTGGGGATTGTTCAGTATTGGGGCTGGAGACAGGGTCAACGCTGATTCATGGAACAAATATCAAGAAAGTATAGAGAAATTTCTGATGGGATTACATAGGCGGTTTCAAATTTCCAGGCGTCTATTCGGAGCTCCCAGGAATTAGGATTGGAGATTTGGGGTGTGCAAAATTAAGAACCTGAGAACGTTACCTGCAGGACTAGACAAATGCAGGGATTGCATGGGAATTTTTTGCCTCATTCCAGAAATCCTCCGTGCATTCGATAAGTGGTTGAGGCTTGAGCTTAGGGTTTGCTACATGCCATCCAGCATGATTGTTTCTTGGTACTTGGGAGTTCGGCGGAAGGTAGCAGATTGTACGGAACCCCTGAAGCGGAGCGCAGACATTTCATCTGGTCCAAGAAGAATGATAAGCCTCTCCCCCTAATTATGGTTAATTGGGAGTATTTAATATTAAGGGAGGGGTGGGAGGTTCAATATTCGGGGCAGAGGATTAACGAGGAGCTCCGAGGTAACATGTAGGTGGCAGCCCTAACTCAAGACCCACGACGATGAGCTTCACGACTGCTTCCACAATGCAAGCGGCGATTCTAACAATAAGCGTGCTGAGGAAGATTAGTATTCATCATGTGTGAGTTCACCAATTATGATTAGTTTTGGTCATGACTACTACTGTTGGCTTCCTACTTTTTCTACGGTATCATTCATTGCTGGGATTACAGGCCATGTGAGAGCCCTGGCAGGTAGATGAGCTTGTGGCGGAGCTGGCTGAGGCAGAAGAACTCCAGAAGAGTATGGCTCAGCTGCTCACAGCAGTCGGGGGCGCGGTGGAAGTTGAGGAAGCAGATGAGGAAGTGCAAGCAGTGGAGCCTGAAGCGGCCAAGGGCCCCAAGGGCAAAGAACCCGTGGTGTTGCTGGAGCCTGACGATGTCCCCGTGGAAGTGGCGGAGGAGATCCTCCCTGAAGATGTCCAGGCAGAGGTCGCAGAGGTTCAACACGAAGAGGCCGAGGAAGCACCAGACATCCCAGAACCCGATTTGGAGGCACCAGGTGTTGAAGCCTGTGAGCCATCCCAGGTTCAAGGATCCCAGGCGGAAGCCTGTGATCCTTCCCAGCTTCCACCAGAAGAGGAAGCCGGTGATCCCTCGGAGCTCCAGGCAGAACCCGCAGAGCCAAACTCTCCGCAAGCAAGTGAGGAAGGCCACCACCTGCATTTCTGGGGCTCCGAGTCCGAGGAGCAGAGGGATTTCACAGGGATGGTTCTGAGGCCAAAGATGCAGGGCAAGCACATACACCAGTTAAATGTGTCAATGTAGACACGTGTTCTAAGCGCTGTCTCGGGAGTGGTGTGCATGTTGGAGCGTACATAAGCTCATAGCAAGACAATTTGAAACAGTCTTGATCTCGGCATGGACCCCCCTCTCAAAGAATCCCAAAATAAAAGGCCCCAAATCATAGCTCCCACCATCATACTCGTCTGGGATCCCCCGGACATGGATCCTTCCAGAGACCCGGCAAGGACGCGCCGTCACCTCGCCTGAGCAGTCCCGTGAAGGCTCATGCAAAATCTCAAGGTTTTTGGAAGTGGTTTCTATAGGCACCACTTTAAAAATGCATTCCCAACTAAGCATGAGTAGGTCTTTCCACTGAAATTTGTTGGGCCTCCTTGTCTTGAACTCTGGGTTTTATGGGGGAACAAGCAGGTCCAAATACAGTATCGGCCTTATTTCCCTCCATAGCTGGGAGTTGCGAACTGGATCCAAGCAATCATGTGTAAGGTCTGATATTTGTCCCTAAACCATTAGTCTTCCTTCGTCCAGGTGGCTCTTGATGGCCTTCCCCGTCATTTGCGGGTCAAACTTCGCGAGGGGCTGTCCCAGGCTTGGATGACCCTGCGCCCCCCTGACATTCAATGTTCCCAATATGTTATCGTATGCCACAAAGGAAGCATTTTGAATTTAGGCGGGACTTATAAATTTGCAGCATTCCTTTCCAGCGTTCAGTGTTGAGCGTTTGAGTTCTGGGACAGGGAATAGTAATAGAGCGTGTGCCCTAGAACCTGCAACGGGACATCTAAATTGAACGACAAGGGCAAGTTTGGGTACTGGCCTTGAGGATTCAAGGAATTGTTATGAGCCCTAAACCCTAAATCCTTGGCCCATTTCAAGAATGCATGCCGTCCTTCCCCACCTTGGCTGATCTTCTTCAGCCCTCCCTGAGCACTGCAAGACTCCAACTGTACGCACTACCAGGGACACTTTTGTAAAGAGTAGAGGAATGCACCTCTCCAGCAGCATAAGCTGCCGCCAACCACCATTTTTTGTCTATTCATGTATGTTTGTGGTCAAAGCCCCTGAGCCCTAAACCTCAATCAAACACTAAGCCCTACACCTTAAACCCTAAATCCTAAACCTTAAGCCCTACACCTTAAACCCCAAAACCTAAACCTTAAGCCCTACACCTCAAAACCCAAATCCTAAACCTCAAGCCCTACACCTCAAAACCCAAATCCTAAACCTTCAGCCCTAAACCACCTTAGGGCTAGAGATATTCGGCACAGACATCTGCGCGAGGCGTTGGTTGGCCAGCTGGAATGGATGTTGCAGGCAGATTCCAGGCTGGGTGCATAGGGGTTTAGGGGTTTGATAGGGTTTAGGGTTGCATGTCTCAGCTAGGGTTTAGGGTTTAAGGTTCAGGGTTTAGGGCTTAGGGTTTGGGATTTAGGGTTTACTTTGGAAATGGTTTAGGGTTCAAGGTTTAGGGTTCAGGGATGAGGGTTTAAGGTTTAAGGTTAAGGGTTTAAGGTTTAGGGTTCAGGGTTTTCTTTAGACATGGTTGGCAAACAGTTTCCACGGTTGTGAGCACTCAGGCCCAACATAGAACAAGAGTGATAGCAGATGACAATAAAGCAGCAGCAGAAGCACAAATCTAGCACACGCAGCAATGTATGAGGAATGTGTGCATTTAAGACGTGCAGACCTTGAGCTCGACTGACAGAAGTTTCTCTTCGCACCAGACTTGCCAATCGGATGCAATGCCGTCAAGACCTTGAAGGCTGCCGAATTTCTAACTCATCGCCTTTTTCTAACATGATTCCTTCACGTGTCGAACTAGGGACGCCGGAATGCACACTTGGCTTCATGTAAACGAAATGGGGCCCGCTTTTGACATGGACAGCTGTCATATACTGTCGGTTTCAATCAACATCTGATTTCCGGTTTTAAGCCACTCGGCTTCCTGTGTGCAAGGATTCGTCTTCCCGCAGTCCGGCCTGCGAAGAAGCCCGATCAGCCTGAGGCCCCCACTGGGAATTCCCAAACAGGAACATGTTAGCAACCAGTCAGGAGTTCAAATTGATTGGCCGAGTGTTTGACTAGTTGCGTATCATAGACTCACCATGTGCAAAGACACAGCCAAGAGAGGTAGATTCAGATAGGGTGCTGTGTCTGCGGTGAGATGCTGTTGGCGTGGCTGCAAGTTCCATTTAGCTGAACTCGACTCAAATGTCAGGCACGGAATTTCTTGGGTCCCTTGAAGGGAATTCCGGAAATGCTTTGCCTCCGTGAAGCTTTGACATGACTGCGCGAGGAGCTTTCTCTCAGTGATGTTGAAGGCCAGGGCGGCATGAGAATTGTAAGCCATGCCACGGCAAGCAGGTTGGTGCGCATGGCTCTCAGGATAGTGGGGCAGTTGATGTATACTTCCATAGCCCCAGGTGCACATGTGTAGCAGTGGAACGAACAACTCGAGCATGGCTAGTGAGAGGAATAATGACCATCCTAAGCATCCTCGGGGTGATCATTACTCCAAATTGCTATTATTGCTTTGTTGCTATTCTTGATACTAATTCTGATTGCTACTATTGCTGTTATTGCTGTCATTTTTTATTATTCGCCTTAGCACTGCAGGACTCCTTGAGGGCAACAATGGATCCTTCAGGAAAGCCCAGGACCCGTCCTTTTTTTTTGGCCCGGCCATGGCAAAGTGAGGTTATTTGCTCATTGGTGCCGAGTCTGGTACCCACATGGTATTGATTATGAGCATGATTCTGATGGTTGGTATTGTTATATGATAGAACAACTAAGAGGCATGCAAAAGTGGCCGCTCTTGCAGCAGGAGCAAGAAACGGGGCCGTTTTGTGATAAAGACGATGCGGTCATTCCTGCAACTACCATGTCCTTCATTTGCGCACCTCCATGATTCGCTGTGAAATTTTGTGCTGTTAAGATGTTGACATGGTGGTTCTACTCGCGCTGTCACCTATTCAAATCAGCTACATTCTCTCGGCCGGCCCATCGCAGGAATTGCCGGCGCCGACGGGTGAGGCATGGCATTTGGGTCCTGCATGCCGGACACATTGAAAGTCATGACATTCTAAGCAAGCCATCGGGCCTTCCTAGGGTGCACACAGATGTGGGCAGAGACAGGTAGGTGGCATAAAGCAGAAGAGTAGAGGCTGCTAAAGTTAGGGCCTGCTTCTAGGCAGTCCTGATACAGGGATCTCCACCGTTTTGGCACAATTTTCGGGTGCCTGGATGTTTGGAGTCTGCACTTTAGATTTGCGACAGACATGCCCTGCACAACAAACATAAGCAGTTAAATGATGTTGATCAGATTGCTGATCTGATGTACCCTAGGGGCTGGCAGGCCTTGTGCAGAACTGTTAGCTTGTGGAAGCATTGGGGATGGTGCCCAAATTCTGGTTCTTTCTTGGGGACCCTGCGTGCGATGCTGTTATCTGCAACTGCATTTTGATAACGATCTTGACCATCTCCGTCTCCTTCTATTCCACAGCCTTACAAGATGGTCCCCACAAAGTAAAGCCCCCACAGCCCTGGCATAGTCGTGAGACCGGATATACAAGTCCTTCAGTGAATCCAGAGGACCATCTAAATCTATTAAATTCAACAAAAATACACACCCAGCGGCGATCCCCTACAAGCTGAATCTCCAGCACCCCTTGCTGCTTCAAGCTGCGGCTATGCGAGCACTGAACTCGCAACCCCTGCACCCTCCCAAACCCTGAATGCCCAGTCATTGTGAACCCTAGGGCCAGAAGAAAGAGGTTGTAGAATGATTCATGCGGGCGTCCCTGTAAGATCACGTGAGCTATAGTCCAAAGCGCCTGCGAAGGGGGTTATATAGGGGGGATACTAGGAGTTTAGACCCTAACTCCTAAACTCCACACTATAGGGGTTCTTAAGGGGGATACTAGGAGTTTAGACTCTAAACCCTAAACCCCATACTATAGGAGTTCTTAAGGGGGAGCTCATGTGGGGACCATTTTGGGGCGCCCCTGCCTCTACCACTTTGCAGGTGGCGTACCTGCTGTCGGAACTGGCCAAAGGCTCTTCCACGGCAAGCTGCGCCTCTTTTTTGTGGGTTTTAGGGTTTAGGGTTCAGGGTTTTTCATGGGTGAGGGTTGTTTAGGGTTTGGGGTTAAGGGTGGGGTGATAGGAATAAAGGAAAAGAGCAAGGAAGCTTCTACACTGTAATAGGGTCTCTGTCTATATATATATATATAGCTCTATATGCATAGACAGGCTATGGTAGGGGTGCAAGCCTGTTTTTTCAGAAAGAGTGTTTGATGTGGGGATTTCCCCAAAACCTTTTTTTGGTGGTTCCCATAGTAGGGATTTTAGCATTTTGGAGTCTGTATTGGGGTCCCTGGTTTGGGGAATTACCATGTAAGGAGTAATTATAGATTGAGAACGGGCTCTGAAAGAGTCATGTGGGCACCGTACAGGGATTCGGGAGGGTTTAGGGCTTAGGGTGTGCGGGCATGAGCTTAGCAATGATTCAATTTCGTGCTGAGATTCTGCTGTGTCTGACGCTTATGAGTCCCAACGTGTGGTTTGCTTATGTTGACCTGTAATCCTCATTATGGGGACCCCCAGAACCTAAAGGACCTAAACCCTATTGAGGAAACCCTCATGTCACGCTAGGCCCTTGTAATGAGCATCCTCACCTGTTCGCAGGTGGCGATGAAGTCAACGCCGCAGACTATTGGGCCGCTGCCCCATGACGAGCGGAAAGAATAATGCTTAGGGTTTAGGGTTTAGGGTAATGGATAAACAGACGGAAAAGAAGACGGACAATGATATGGCAGCTGGTTTATGGGGATCAACGCCTTGAGGAGTTCAGGATTTAGAATGGTGGAGAGTCAAATGGAAACTGACAGTGGCCCTGGGTCTGCACAAAGCTTTCATCGATCTTCTGGTTGATAGTAGGCAAT